TAGTAGGTGGAACAATGTTTTGTATAGTATGTTATGCCAATTGAGTTTGATGTCCCCTGCGACTATGGTCCCAAGCCTGCAGGATCAACTACTCGGTCCCTCTGGGTAGCTGGCTGTGACCAAGTACAAATCACAATAAATTTTTTTTAAGTAAATTAAAAAAACAGTATCGTAACTTTACCCCCAGCTAGTTCTAGTTATATGGACATTCTTACAGCACATACAAATATGTCTGCCTGGCAGAGCTGAGAATAAGCTTCAGTGATGACAGTAGCCCTGGAGAACAGAGAGAGGCCCTAAGGAGGGGTTCCTCCTTCCTTCCTACCCCACCCCACCCACCTCCACTCACTTGCAGTCCAGCACTCCCCAGGGGTGGTAAACCAGGGATGTCTTCCGAGGCCAGGGGCCTAAAGATGATGTTCAGACTGGGGGGCTCCTGGGTAGAGCACAGAGCTCTGAGGAGGAGGAGAGGGTTCTGGGAGAGCCCGTGCTTATCTACCGCCCTTCCTGCTGGGCTTCTGGCACCTCCTGGTTGCCTCTTCACAAGGTTTGGGAAGCTAACCAGGATGCAGGACATATTGTTTAGGATGCCATGGAGATGGTAGGGGTAAGGAAACTGGGTGGGAGAGGCTAAGCCCACTACCCTACAGTCCTGGTGTTCCGGTTCCCTCCCCCAGGCTGGTTGGTCCATTTTTCTCAAGTCTTCTCCATCTGACCATGGACACTCAGTCCTCTTCTACCAGGACCACACCTCCTGGCCACAGGACCACGCCTCCTGGCCTGTGCCTGTTGTTGAGTGCCTTTGAGCTGATTCCCACTTAGAGCAACCCCACGTGAAGAGTAGAACTGCCCCAAGGGTTTCCTAGGCTGCAATCTTTGTGGGCAAAGCTGGACAAGGAATAAGGAAGACCAAAGATGAATTGATGTCTGTGAGTTACGGTATTGGTGAAGAATATGGAATATACCATGGACTGCCAGAAGAACAAACAAATGTATCTTGGAAGGGTACGGCCAGAATGCTCCTTAGAAGTGAGACAGGCCAGAATTTTTTTTTTTTTTTTTTTTTTGAGGTCCCATTTGAGTTTATTCAGTATTCAACCTTAGATTTAGACATTGTGATCGTTGGAGCTGTGTGTCAACTTGGCTGCACCACAACTCTGTGTGTTTTAAGCTGTTGTGATGTGGTTATTCCCATGATGGGATCAGATGAATATGTTTTGAGCAGCCAATCCATTGAAAGGGAGTTTCCCTAGGGGTGTAGTCTGCTTCCAGTATATTTATGGACATCCTGGGAAAAGAGACACTCTTTTGTGGATCGGGATTCTATTGTGCCGCCTGCAACTGTCTGTGAGTGAACAATCCACCATTCGGCCTGGAGATCTTGGATTCGTCATTCGCTGGAGTCAACAGCTGGTGTACTGCCTGCCAGCCTTGAGCTCCTCAGTCCCTGCAGCTGTGACTTGGGAAAAGCCTCCAGCTTGATGTTTGATCCAAGAACTTGGGACTTTCCAGCTTCTACAAGTGTGTGAGCCACTTTCCTAAGATAAATTTCTCTTTCTCTCTGTATATAAGCTTTACTGGTTTTGTTTCTCTAGAGAACCCAGCCTAACACAAACATGTACAGGTCACTTTAGAGGACCTATATGCTTCAGTTTGGACTATTTTTGGCTAATGGCTGAAATTATATTATATGGTTTAACCACTAGAATTAATTTTTTAAAAAATTTTATTGTGATTTGGGTGAAAGTTTACAGAGCAAATTCACTTTCCATACAGCAGTTCACTTACACTTTTTGTCTCAGGACATTGACTGCAATTTCCCACAATGCAACAGCTCCCCTCCCACTTCCTCCCCAGTTACCTCTTCCCTGTGTCCTTCCCTCCATGCACTCCTGCCCCTCCCCAGTTGTCTCCCTGTGCAGACACATCCCTTCTAGTCTCCCATTGATTGTTCTCTCCAAGGAGTGTGTCTACCTAATGTAAATGTTCAGCTCATAGGCCTGTCTTTTGTGTGAGAAGGGCTAGATTTTGTCTCGCTTCCCCTGAACATGTGATCAGGAGGGACCTGTCCCTGGAAAAGTAGATCATGCTTAGTGAAGGAGAAGATCAGCGAAAAAGGGGAAGACAATCCCTGAGGACTGGCCCAGTGGCTGCGACAATGGACTCAGCATCGCAAGGACTGTGAGGACGGCCGGGACTGGGTAGTGTTCCATTCTGTTGTACATGGGGTCGCTGTGAATTGGAACCAACTCCATGGCACCTAACTACAGTCTTCAGCGGAGGAGCTGTAGAGATCACCAGGTCTTTTCTCCTTGCCAAGTGACTGGTGGGCTCGAACTCCCTACCTTTTGGTTAGCAGCCAAGCACATAATCATTGCACAACTAGGGCTCCTTCTCACTGTCATCTCATTGACAAACCCATTGCCAGTAGTGTCCATTCCGACTCAGTGACCCTGTAAGACAGAGCAGAACTGCCCGATAGGGCTTCCAAGGCTATTGTTGTTGTCGTTATGTGCCATCGAGTAGGACCCGACTCATAGTGACCCCTCCTTGGGTTTCTGAGGCGGTATCACTATGGAAGTAGATTGCCCAACCGTCCTTCAGAGGAGTGGCTGGTGGGTTTGAACCACCAGGCTTCTGGTTAGCAGTCAAGTACCTTCGGCACTATGCTACCAAGGCTGTAATATTTATGAAAGCCGACTGCCAAGTCTTTGTCTTGGGGAGTGGCTGGCGGGTTCAAACTGCCCACCTTTTGGTTAGTAGCCGAGGGCCTTACCCACTGTGTCACCAAGGCTCCTCCCTGTCACAGCCCGGCTCTATTCCAGGGACCCGTGCCCTTCCTCTCACGCCTCCCCATTTACAACCTAACTGTTCTTCTTTCATCAATCATTACTCTTGCCTCAGGCTCCGCCCCTTTCCCTAGCTCCGCCCCTTTTCAAAGGACCATGCCTTTTCCTTTATGTTCCTCCCACTAACCTATCTATTGAGAACCTCAATGGATCCTTAAGGTTTCTCTCTCTGCAGTTTGGCCCTGCCCCATTCCATTAGGCCACCCCCTTACTCTTACTCATGCCCTCGGCTGTGGTTGGCACCCAATCAATGGCTCCACATGAGAAAGATGTGGCAGTCTGCACACATGAAGATTACAACCTAGGAAACCCTATGGGACAGTTCTACTCTGTCACATAAAGTCGCTGAGTCAGAATAGACTGGAGTGGGCCTAACAACAACTCATGCTTCCTAGGTCTGCCCGCTACCAAGCCCTCCTCGCTAAATCCCACGTTCTCTCCCGTCTCTGTACCAAGCCCCGCCCCTTCCCACGCCCCGCCCCTAGGACTTGCACAGGAAAGCGTCCAACAGCTGCAGTCTGAGAAGCTCTGGGGCCAGGCCTAAGCGGAGGTGCGAATCCAGGAGTCCTGCCAGGACGATGCCCGACGTCCTGTCCCACACGCCATCGGAGGCCGGAAGCGTCAACACGTCCTTGGCCTGGTGGGCCAGGGCGGCCACCTCAGGCTCCGCAGACACGAGTTGCAATTCGGGGGCCTTCCTGGAGCTTCCTTGAGGGCAAAGTCACCTAATGTCCACGACACGGCCAGGGAGGCTTGTATACACCAGCTGCGGATGGTGCTACCCTTGTCTCGGATGGGCTTGTGCTCCTGGCGCTCCAGGGTCCTCTGTGCTGAAGGCCACGGCGACGGCGTGTTTCAGAGCAATGTGCAGTGCGCCGGGTACAGGAAGCACAGGGAGACTACCACCACCACCCTGTGCAGCCGCCCGACTTGCCGCAGGCCAGCGCACACGCAAGCGCGCGTCGGCGCTCCGGCAAGCGCGGCGCAGCGCGCGGCGCAGGTCCTCCGGCTGCCCCGGCGCAGGGCCCGGCGCCTCGAGCACGTGGCCAGGAGGTTGCATGATCTGATGTGGACAGCTTGCGCCCAGGACAGCGACTGTCCAGAACAGCGAAGAAGATCCCGCACCGCGAGGCAAGCGTAAAGTGTCTTCCATGCGCGCGCGCCAACCCTGCGCTGCGGTCGCCCCGGAAGCGCGGGCCCCACGCCGCCGCCGCACCCCCATGCGGCCGTTGGGCGCAGCGCAGCGCCGTCAGGAAGAACTGAGGCCCGCGGAGGGCATGCGCCGCTCCTTGTAATCTTTCTCTGCCTCCTGTAACTTGCGAGATGGCCTGAGGAGACGCTCGAGCTGGGGGGCCACGACTGCCACCTTTAGCCCCCGGAATCAGGAATGCGCCACCCTTTGCACCTGCCTCCCCAGCCATTAATCTGCTCCACTGTGCGATTCCAAATTCCTTTCCTATGTCCTTAACCTGTAGGTCAAGTGGAGCTAAAGGAAAGGGTTGGATTTCCGGGTCTTCTCTCTGCACCTTCAGAGCGGCCTTTGGGATCTGGGTGAGGGGAACTGGTAGCAAATGATCAGTAGCGCTTGTCCACGTGGTACACGTTATTTTACACCATTATCTCCAGTTTACAGAAGAGGAACCCCAGTCACTGAGAAATACCTACTCATGGCTAGTAATTGTTGTTACCAGGAATCGAACTGTAGAATCCGTATTCTTAACCGTAACACTCTCGGCTTCTGGTCCTTAGCCCCACTCTGTCCAGGCTTCCTCCAATTTCACATCCCCAGCTTTAAAACCTTTAAATCGTTGATGATTTGCTGCTGTTGTTCGAGCCCTGTCGCGAGCTTCTGTTGCTTCTCTGCCGCCCACCAATTCAAGATGATGGCCTTAGACTAATCTTGGAAATCATAGTTCTGCCTCAACTCTAGGCCTTGCCGCACTCTGGCTACGCAGTTATGTCCATCTTCTGGAAGCTGCCAGTTCTTTCCTGTTCTCTTTCGGTCCCACCTCTAGCTCGGCTCTCTTGAGGCTTGACACCCTACCCTAAAACCAAAACCAAACTCAAGGCCATCGAGTCAGTCTCGACTCATCGTGACCACTCCTTGGGTGTCTCTACAGAAGTAGATTGCCCAACCTCCCTTCTGAGGAGTGGCTGGTGGGTTTGAACCGCCAGCCTTCTGGTTAGCAGTCAAACGTCTTAGGCACTAAGCTACCAGAGCTCAGTGAAAAAACAGCAGACCCTCAACAACATGATTGACACAGTGGCTGCAACGATAGACTCAACCATAGCAACGATTGTGAAAATAGTGCAGGACGGGGCAGTGTTTCCTTCTGTTGTACATGGGGGCGCTATGAGTAGGACTCCACGGCAGCTACAGGTTCAGAGGCTACTTCAGAATCAAAAACCAAACTGCCATCCAGGCCATTTTGCCTCATAGTGACCCCCATTGGGTTTCAGAGGCTGTAAATCTTTATGGAAGTACATTGCCCCATTTTCCTTCCGCGACCCTACCTCAGAGCATTAGAATATTTCTATCTTCCCCTCAGTACCTACTTTCGCCCCAAGCGACTCAAGATCCATTCCCCCACCCCATTCTCTCGGCCTAGGCTCCTCTCCCTGAACCCCTCAGCTTATTCCCGGGCCCGCCCCTATTTTCCTAAAGGCCATGCCCCTCCCATAGACCCTGGCCTTCCTGTGGTTCTTTTCCACGCTTTCCCCGCCCCTCGCCTACGCTCCTAGCTCCGCCTCTTTTCGGAGGCCACGCCCCTGTAACCAATGCTCCTGCATGTTTCCCCGCCCCCTCGCGGGCCCTCAGGTTCCGCCCCGCCTCCCTCTGGCCCCGCCCCGGCGGCGCGCTGCAGTGCCTTCCCCACCGCGGCCCCGCCCGCCCTGGCCGCGCTG